GGGGGGGGGGGGGGGCGGGCGCGCGCGTCAGTGATGAGGAACCGGTGAGGTGTGGCGCACTGGACAGCAGATGCACATGCACACGCATATGTGTATACATATGCACATGTACATGCTCTCTCGCGCCTTTGTTGACAAAAGATGGACGACGCACGAGGAGGTGGGACTGCTCAGAGGTGATGGCCTGGCCCTTGGTGCAGATGGTGAAATCGCGCTGGAGGGTAACAACACCTGTGGAAGGGAGGCGGGGAGCAGAGTGAAGGGTGGCGTGTGCACGTGGGTGGGCAGGGGGGTTAGAGAAGGTGGTCCACAGAGGCCGCACACACAGCGGTCGACACCGCAGCCCTCGGGAGCAGTGGCAGCATGACGCACCCTGAACAAGGCTGGTGGGCATGCCAAGCTGACGGAGGGTGGGCTCCATGGGATGGGCCACGGGGTTGATGCCACGGAAAACCGGGCCTGTGATCGTAGGGAGGTGCGCATGTGCACAGATGCGGCAAAAGGGGGAAAAGAAAAAGGCACAGCCAAGGCACCGCAGCGAGGAGGGTCGTCAGAGCATGTGGACGGGCGAGCGACGGCGGCGAGAGCCAAGCAGAGGGCTTCGATGGATGCCCCCCCAGCGAGGGAGAGAGGGAGAGAGGGAGAGAGAGAGAGGGAGAGAAAGAGAGGGGGGGTACATACCGGCGGACAGCTCGATGGTCTCAGAGGCGATGGCACCAGCGCGAGCATAGTCGGTCTTGGAGAAGGTGGCAAAGTAGCTAACACACAGGGGGGGGGGGGGGGGGGGAGGGCATACACACTGCGGGCCGATGGATGCAACAATGCGGGCTCGCCATTTGGGCGATATTTTCTCCCTCCCTCCCTCTCCCGCCCTCGATGCCGATCGTCGGGCCCACTGCGCATCAGAGCACGACACACGTGCACAAGGAAGAAAAAAGGCACAGGATCCATGTCCGACAAGCAGCAGCTGAATCCTGTCTCGTGGCATGCGTCGGGCGCAGGGGGCGCAGGGGGGGGGGGGGGGGGGGGGGCGAGAGACAGGGGCAGCACACATGTGCAGGCATGGGTCAGGGGGATCCGCAATTGCGCGGGCATGTGCGCGCGCTCACGCAATGCGCTACACATCGCCAGGTGGGAAATGGCGACACCAGGGAGGAACGCACTCGACGATCTCATCGTGCGGGCGGTTGGTCAGCAGGAGACCAACATTGCCGACCAGACGGCGGCCGATCTCCGCCAGGCCGGGGTGCGGCTCGTCCGAGAGGGCCACACCGAAGGCCTTGGACATGACGCGGTTCTTGCCGAAGAAGAAGCGCGAATCCGGCAGGTCGGCACGAATGTCCTTCAGGAAGGTGTTGCGCATGTGCTCGACGGAGAAAAGATAGATGTTGTTGAAGCGCTCGATGGCCTCCTGGATCTCGGTAATGAGGTTCTCCTTCTGCTCACGGCCACGCTTGGTGGTGTTGGTCAGGGAGACTGCGGGAGGGGGACACACATGCCGTGGGCTTCAAGTTAGGTCGGTGCACAGGGCGGGTGTCTTTTTTTTTTTTCGGCCTCCTTGTCTGCCACTCGCGGCTGGCGGGGGGTGCCGACACATATACATGTATCGTCTCTTGGGGGCAGGTAGGAGGCTGGATGGCACAGGGCCACGTACCGAGCTTCGCGCGGCGGGAGCGGGCCATTGTTCCTAAGGTCGGAGATTCCGGGGGGTAATGCTCACTGGGCAAGTGGCAAAGGCAGATTGGGGCGTGTGAGTCGGGGAGGGAGGGAGGGTGGGAGGAGGAGCGGACGGAGCAACGGGGGGAGGGGAAAGGAGAGGGACAAAGTGCCAGTCGGGGGGATCTGAGGAGAAAGAGGGACGCGGGAAGAAAGAGGGCAGCAAGAAACCTGGGACAGTCGGGGGAAGGAGTGGGGCAGGGGGCATATGGTAGGGGACCGGGCCGGGAGTTGCCTTGCTTGCGGGGCCCTATGAACCCTCACCTGCCACTCTCCCACCGGGGGCTGTGTGCCTCTGGGCTCCGGGGTCGGGGGGTGTGCGGGCGCTGGGCCCGGCCACGCGTTGCTGCCCGGGTCTCGCCCACCCCCCTGCCCGCGTGTACCCCCCCCACGCGAACCCCCCCCCCCCCCTCCCCCCGCCTCCCGTTTCCCGTCACGCCCCCCGCCGTCGTCCTCTCGACCACCCGGTGCAGAGAAGATCGTTTCCGGGCGGGCGGGAGACGCCGCGAGGGGATCGTCCACGCGTATCTTTCCACATGATCATAAGTGCCAACGATCAGTTCGATCGGCGGCTGAGCCGTCTTGCGTTCCATGTCCCATTTCCCTCGGGGAGAAAGAGCGCCGTTGTGTGTTGGAGAACGCGGGGGAGAATCCCTTTTTGTACATGCATTTATTTATTGCCTCCCAGGGGGTATTATTATTGGAGGGGGAGGAGATTTCCCGCCCTCCTTCGAGAGAAACAGCTGGACCGAGGGAGGTCTCCAATCGGCCGTGTGTTGAGCCTCGCTTTTCCTCCTTGCCACGCCGCCATGCGCATCCCCCTCCCCTTCCTGGGGGAGGGAAAAGTGGGCGGCGGCGGAGGAGGAGGAGGAGGAGGGGGGAAGACCGTGCTGGCGTGCGAGGGGAATACACGCAGCGCGAGACCGGCGTGCACACCCACAGGCGGGGTCATGCACCATGCCGACTTCTTATTCCACTCACCCGACCACCGGGACCGGGAAGAGAGTCGAAACACTGGCTGCGGAGCCCAGAATCAGAGAAATAAAGCTGCTCGGGGGAATGGGGCTCGATGACTGAGCCTCCAGGCTGGCCTTGTGCTTGGGAGCCGCGTCAGCCGGCCGGGCCACGCCGATGTCGCCGAAAGGCGCGTCGATGCCGGCCCCGGTGGACATGGTCAGGCGCCCGGCAAAGTGGCGGATGCGCAGGCGCACACTGGCGGCCGACTCATCCCCAGGCCCATGGTGGATGCCCTCCAGCTCGGGGCTGCCAGCATCAGGAGAAGCGGTCGTTCCGCGAATGCGCGTGGCACCCTCCTCCGGCACCAGCATCGAGTGAACCAAGGCCGCCAGGGCCGGCGCCACCGAGGCCACATTCCCACCGGGAGCGAAGGACGAGGCCAGAGACAGGTGCTCCATGGCACGCTGCGACTGCCCCAGCGCAACTGCAAGGATGGACAGCTGAAGGGTGGAGTTGAGAGCCCATGTGATTTGGAGGCGGGGCAGGAGAAAGACCGGGAGCAGGAGATAGAGGGAAAGACCGGTTAGCGGGGGGGGGGGGGGGGGGGGCGAGGCACAGCGAGGCGATCTGGCTCTGGTAAGATGCACGCGGTGACGATCCACGTACCGTGAGCCAAACGCGCGCCGCATAGGTGCGGTCATCCAGCTGGGCCGACTTCACCAGGGTGGAGATGAAGTCCAGGCACTTCTGGGCTTCGGACACCAGGCTTGACTGCTCCAAATATCCGGGACTGGCAGCCACCAACAGGAGGATATACACATGCGTGGCCACCAGCCAGGCGTTAAGCTTCACCATGCCGGGAGCCTTGGCCTTGGCCACCAGGGCGAATGCCTGCTTGAGATGCTGACCCGACGCACGGAGCAGCTGGTCGGCCTCCTCCTCGCGAGTCCCGTCGAAGGAGCACTGGCACGCCAGCGACGCCTCGATGATGGCCTCCTGGAAATGGAAGCTGCGTGCCCCAAATGGGTGTCAGTTTGCGGAGCACCATGCGCATGTGCATCGGCGCATGTGGATGGCGGCGCGGCAGGGGGAAAAAAAAGAAGGAAAAAGCAGGAGCCGCGTGTGCGATGGTATGCGGCACGAGAAAACGCCGGAGGCTGGCAAAACATACACAGGATCCGGATGGGCATGCTCCCCATCGACATGACAGGCTGCCTGGGCCGCGAGGCACGCACGCCAAGCGGAGGCCAATCCACCAGCCATCGGCCGATTGGTCTCCTGGTCATTGCGCAAGCCCACAAGCGACACGGCATCTGGCGTGGTCAGGAGCATGGTAAGCAGGTACCAAACCGACCGGCGAATGACCGCCAGCTCGGGGTACTTGGCGTCCGGAAGGTCGCCGGAAGTGCGGCACACCAGGGCCGCGCGCCGGGCAAAGAAAATGGCGCGGGCAATCTGCCAGGGTCGGAGAGGGCCCCCTCCCCCCCCCCCGGAGAAAGAAGGCACATCAGGTCAGCATCTGCCATTCATGGGCAAGACAGAACGGGGACATGTATGCGTGGGTGACAGGGTCCCATGTTCCAAGGTCGGCCCATCTCGCGACTGGGCAACGTACGTCGCGCTTCTCCGAATGCGCCAGGCCAAGGTGGTACAGGCTGGAGGCGATGACAAAGAGCCAATTGCCATCGCGATCCGCCAAATTGACAGTCTCAAGTTGGTCGGCGTCCGCAATCTCAGCCGGCAGGACTTCCTCCAGGAGGTCGGCCACGCTGGCGAGCAGGGCCTGACGCGCGGGGCCCCCATACGGCAGATCATCCCCAGGAGTGGCGACCACCCGGTGGCCGAGGGCCAGGGCGGCCAGTCGGACCGCCGGGTCCGCGCCACGGGCCAGATGCAGCTGGCACACGGCCGCCCCATGAGCCAGCGATGCCCGTAGCAGGGCCAAATCCACGCGACCAGCAGCCGGGGCAGCGTCCCCCGGAGCCAGACGCCCAAGAGCACGAGTCAAGGCATGGAAGGCGCCCAGAGCCAGCCCCGCGGCCGTGGCAAGATAGTACTGCGGCTCGGCGGTCGCCGGGTCACTGGGGACCAGAGGCGGAAGCGTGGCCGGGCCGAGGCGCACCGCGTCGGCTTCGGCATCCACCTGCGCCAGATGCACCAAGGCCGCCGTGCGCAGGGCCGCCGACAGGATGTGCGCCTGCAACAGGCTGCACCAACTGTCCTCCGACCCCAAGGTCAGGGGCTGGTCGGCAGAGGAGGTGCCCAACTCCATCTGGAGAAGTCCGGCGCTCTTCAGCTCGTTGGCCGAGGCAAGGGGGCTGGGACGCCACAGGGTGAGCACGGAGGGAGGAGGGGGGGGGGGGGGAAGGATGGAAGAGGTCGAACAGCAGGCACAGGGTGGACAGAGGGACGCACTAGTTGCTCCGGAGAAGGGCCAAGGCGAAGAAGAGCCGGCAGTTGTCGGCCTGCTGGCGCAGTTCGGCCGAACCGCCGGACATGTAGGCCGCACGGGAGAGGACGGTACGAGTGCGCAGCCCAGCCAGCAGGGTCATCGTTTGGAGGCTCTCCTCGGCCAAGCTGTGGCGGCCCGTGTGCTGGAGTCGCTCGAGGGCAACCTGCGTCACCAGCGGCGCCAGGCAGCCCGGGGCCGTGCCAAAGTCCTGCATCAGGTCCAGACCGAGAATCGGCCCGGCCAATTGAAGACCGGCCTCGAGAATGCCGAGCGCCTGTTCAACCGACAGGGGCCACATGTCGTGGCGCGACTCGAAGTCCAGCGAGATGTACTGCAGCCAGGGGAGGGCGTGAGCCAGACACATGGCGTACAGGGGAAGAGGATCGGAGCTACATGGGCATGGGTTGCGTGTGCATACATAAAATTACATACATGTAGATCCATGTATATGCATGTGTGTGGTCAGCAGGTGTAACTCAGGCGAAGGGGCACATGCATGGACAGGACACGTACCTGCCGCGCTCCTGGGACAGGGCAAGCAGTTGGGTGAAAAGCGCCAACACGGAGACCAGCCGCCGCGGGTCCGTGGCTGGGATCAGGAACTTGCCCTGAGGGAAAGTCCCCTCCAGTGGACGATCCAGCTGGGGAACATTGTACAGCCAGGGGTACTCGCCGATTTGATTCTCCTCGAAGAGGGTGAAGGCGTGGCCACACTGGATGGAGTTGTCGCTGGTTGGCGACCCGAAGGACACCCAGTGCATGAGCGACAGGTAGTCTCGGCAGGCGGAGAGAGCGCCAGCAAGGTCACTGCATGTGCAGGCGCGAGAGTGTGAGTTGCATGTCTACACGGTCGATCTCCTGCCCCCCGTGCCGTCTCTCGCCCCTTTGACAAAGGGCAATGAGCATGGCTGATGTCGGCTGTTTTTTCCTCTCTCTCCCTCTCTCTCTCTCTCTCGGACAGGGACGTACGTGTCAGCCCAAAGGGCAAAAATGCGCAGGTAGAGGACGGCCTCCAGCCAGACAGAGGCTTGGCGACGCTTGACCGGGTCAGTCAAGCCACGCAGAAGGTCAACCATGGGCATCTGCTCGGCATTCAGGCTGAGCAGGCTCAGATCCGGGAAGATGAGCGCCCGAAGCAGAAGCAGCACCGAGTCGAGGGCGAGTGCGGCCGCATGGAAGTGCCCGTCGGAAAAGAGCGCCAGGCCTGCGGAGAAGACAAAGCGGGAGGGTGTCAGATGGCAGAGAGAGAGAGAGAGGGGGAGAGGGAGGAAGGGACTGAAAGCAGCAGGAAAAGGGAACACGCGCAAACGGCATGCCTATGCACAGGCATGCACGCACCGTTGCCAAAGCAGGCCATCAGCCAGGGCAGAGTGAAGCTCGGAACAGCGATGTCCCCGGACACGGAGGTGTCCTTCGGGCCAACACTCCACGGGAGGGCGCCGTCAAACTTGGGCTGCTCGCCAAACCGAGTCCCAGAAATGGCTGCCATATAGGAAATAGCCGACCGGAGTCGCGTCACATCGACATCCTCCGCCAAACGCAGGGCCGCAAGTTCGGCCAAAAGACCGGAGGTACGCGCGCCCAGGGGATCTTCCATGGCAGCGACATGGGCATCGTCTGCCGCAATCAAAGCGTCGGCCGCCTCCTCCGAGTCGTCGGCGTAGTCAGGCTGGGGAATGCTCTTGGCAGCCACGCCCGGGAGCGGACCAAAGCGCAAGCCAAACCGAGCATCGATATTGGCCAGGTCGAGGGCCACCTCATTGGGACCGAGATTGGCCTCCGACGGCTGGACCGGGACATGGAAATGCGTCTGGAGCAAACCCCCGAGCGTCTCACCGAGAGACACCGCCAAAGCCACGAGCTTCAGGTAGTCTTGACCATTTTGCGATCACCACATGACATCTGAGAATTAGCGCACTGCAGAGACGGCACACGATCGGGGCAAAAGAGGATCGCCGATGGCGGCTTGCGGAAAACGGTACCCTGTCCCTCGGTCCGGAGCATGCGACCGGCCTGGGCCTTGGCAGATGTGGCATTGGCCAAGAGGACATCCAGGTTCACCTGTGCGCGGGCGAGCGCGTTCTTTTGATCGACGGTCATCGTCGGACTGGCCATGCTTTCCCGTGTCTTCTTTGTGCGGAGTGTGAGCGGGGTGGTGCTAGTGGTATGTGTGCTAGTGGTATGTGTGTGTGTGGGGCGGGGGGGGGGGGAAGGGAGATTGGAAGGGAGGAGAGTGAGAGGAAAGATGGGGTCTGAGGGGGGAACAGGAGGAAAGGCTCAAGGCGCGCCGTTTTCAACACGGCCACCTGGCAGGACGACAAGGGAGAAAGGAAAGGGAGGTGGTTATGGCAGGAGGGCCGGAGGAAACGCCCATGCCCCCCTGCCGGCCCTCCACCCTCTCGTCGAGAGTAGGAGGGGGTGGGGCGGTTGGTCCGCCCCGTCATCTCCTCTGTCTGTCCCACTGCATTGGCCGCCTTGCCACTTTTGCCTCGCACCTTGGTGGTGTGGTGCAAGGCCACCGTTTCCTTTCCCGAGAGAGGCCCTTGGGCTCCTGCTGCTTGCAGGGAGAGACGGACCAAAAACAAGATGGCCAGCTCCACCAGATTGCGGCCGATGCCCGGGAGCCATTCCCCCACATGCCAACGCCCCACGTTCCAGAGTCATGCTGTAGTCTCGATTAAGTAACCCTGCGACGAGCACCCCTGACCGCCTTCTTTTTCGGAGAAGTGCCGGGATTTTGGGCTATTAAGGCGGAAAGGGGCACGCAGGGAGGCAGGAAGGGGGGGGGGGGGGGGCATGGGGGCCTGTTTGCGGATCTGCCCGTTTGCCTGTGCGGTGTGTGTGTGTGTGTGTGCACGCACGAACGCATGTATGCATGTTTATATGTATATTTTCGGGGGATGTCTCAACCGAAGTGTGAAAGGAGGAAGGGGAGAGAAGAATACAAGAGGGAAGGAGGGGAGGGGGAGGGAGCGTGCACGCAAGAGTGTCAGGCGCGTGGCGCACGTTGATTTGGTGGAAAAGGGGAGTAGCCCCCCCTCCGGGAAGAGGAGAGGAGTACTCGGCAGAATAAATCGCTGGAAGGGGGAGGAGAGCCGGTGCTCTGGGACCATGCCTTGTGGACAGATGGCAGCTGCATCAGCTGCAGGCCACGGAGAGTCGCCTGACAGTTCCGGGGAAATTAATGCCCAAGTGTCTTTCCCACACTCAAAGAGCGGAGGAAGTGGAGAATGTGCCCGACACACGCAGCAGAGCTGGCTCCCCTTCCCCGCCCCACATCTCTGCTCTGCCAGGAAGAGGGTGTGCTGCGGTACATCGTCCACAGGGAGAGATAGCGCCCCACCAAGGGAGCGTGTCCGCTCTGGCGCGGCGACCACACATTGCAATTGGCTCAATGGCGGTAAGGGGCACCGCCAGGGGGCCGGCTGGCGCTGCCGGCGCCGTAGCCACTGGCCCCGGGATATGCGGAGCTCCCGCCAGGCCCAGGGTACGCCGGGCCGCCACCAACACCCGGGTAGGCGGAGCCCCCGCCGGCGCCGGCACCGGGGGCGCTGCTCCGATAGTAATCGGTCGGCGCGCCATACGAGGGGGTAGTCCCGCCACCAGGCCCGCCAGCGCCAGCACCATACATCGGCGCATGTGACGAGTAGGAGGGGGTCGCGCCGCCGCCATAGCTGGGGGTAGCACCTCCCCCATAGCTGGGAGTGGCCCCACCACCATACCGGCCGGCACCATATCCCTGTGCCTGTCCGGGGAAGGGAAGAACGATGCCGGACACCTGCTGTCCACCTGGGCGGACCTGTTGACTGTGTGTGTGTGTGTGGGGGGGGGGGGGGGGTTAGAGATGGCGGAGCGAGTGGCGACCAGCATGCGAAAGGCACATGTGCGGACACAAGAAAAGGGGGAGGCGAAATGGGAACATACCCTTGCTGGATGCTCGACCGCGGGAGCTCCACCTCCAGACGCTTGCTGGGGATGAACACCCGGACGCGGTCGCCCTGGGGGAGAACCCGGCGAATGGTGGCCACCGCTCCCTTGTGCAGACCGCCAACAATGGTCACCTGCTGGTTGAGCAGCGGGTCGCGCCGACCGCGGAAGGGATCTCCACCAGACATGCCGCCGCCACCGCCCATCATCATGCCAGGAACCCCGAGACCGGGAGCCATCATGCCGGGAGGGCCGGTGGGAACCGGCGGCCGGAAGCTGGTGTCCTGAATGAGCTGCACCTGGTTCTGGTAGGCGGTGAAGACTCCGGAGTTGACGCGAATATCATTGGCCACCAAAAAGATGGCCTGATTGAAAATGTGAAGCACCGAGGCTTGGCGGTCCTGGTGCAAGACAAGCCCCACCCGACAAAGGGAGGACCACCAGCCGGGGGGATCCACAATTCAAGGAGGGGGGGGGGCGTGGCCATCAGCATGTGGCGGAATTGCGGAGGATGAACATTGGCCACTGCGCGGGCTGCTCACCACCGAGGCAGTAGACCGACATCGGAGGGGCGCACCTTGTTTGGGCCCTCGAGCACCCGAACTTGACTGCGGACAGAGATCCGGCCGCCATTAATGTCCCGGGCGAACTTCTTGGTGTTGGATGTCGTAGCAACAACGTCACTCTCGGCAACGCTGCGCGACACGCCACGGTGATCGATCACCCGCAAGTGCTGACCGTCGACGGCCAGCACAACAGCTGCGGTTGTTCCACTGAGCAGGGAGGGAGGGAGGGAGGGAGGGAGGGAGGGAGGGAGAAAGGAAGGGGAGAAAGGAAGGCAGAGGCAGCACAGCATGTCAGATCCACGCGTGAGTTGGCACGGGCAAAGGGTGACTGAAGTTGGTGGAGGGACTCGGCAAAAGCATGTTCGTGCATGTGCCAGAGAGAATGGCAAAACGCACTCAAGCAGGACCATATCCAAGTGGCGGAAGCGTCCAGCCGAGGAGAGCGACGTCGACGTCTCATTGGTCAGGGTCAAGTCCCGAGTGAAGACCTCGATCTCGGTGCGCTGGATATCCGTCGTGATTCGGGCGATGTCGCCCTGGACATCCAACACAATACCTACGTCGATCAGATGGCGCACACGCGCACACACGCACGGCCAGGAGGAGGGTCAGGATCCAAGGGATTGGCGGCTCGGGGGATGCCGGAGAGGGAAAAGGGCCACCCCACGCCGAGATGATGCACATACCAGTCTGGTTGTTATGGCCACCACGAATGACCTTGACCTTGTCACCACTACGGAAGAACTTCTGCAGCTGGTTGGCCACGAATTTGGTGCGAATGAGCTTCTGCCCGCTCTTGCCCCGGACGATGGACATGCCAATGGCCGAGGCCACCGACTCGACGCCGGCCATGCTGGTGACTTCCAGCCGGACGGCCACCGCGCCGCTGGATTCGATGGTTTCCACGTAGCCAGTGGCATTGCGCAGGTCGCCCCGCAGGACGATAATCGGGTCACCGATGCGCAGGTTCTTGGCCGCGATCTGGATGGTGTCCGAGCCGGAGTCGCCGGTGGTGGAACTCAGAGAGGCGAGCTCCTTCGAGGTGACTGTGTGGTGTGGCATGGGCAGGGAGAAGGCAGGAGGGAAGGGTGAGTGGGGGAGGGGGGGGGGAGGGAGAAAAAAAAGTTCCCAAAGAAAGCAGACGAGCAGGTCATGGCACAGGCAAAAGGAGGCCCAAGGATGGCAGCCGTGCAGCAGGCTGGCTCACGTACTCTCGCCCTTCTCGGCCTTGAGGAACCACTCGCGCTCATCCAGGGTCGGCTTGACGTCGCGGGTGATCTACATGCATGCGGACACATGGATTGCATCGGCGAGCGGGATGGGAAAGGTGAGATGAGAGGGGCAAAGCGAAGGGGTGCACATTCGGTGGAGGAAAGATCCCCAAATGACAGGGCATGGGCTGGGAGTGGACGCACCAGGTTCTTGGTGTTGAAGATCTTCAGCAGGAGACCCTTGCTGGAGTAGTACTCACCAGCGAACTCATAGCGGTCATCCTCGGTCTTGCGGATGTGATGGCCATGTTTGCTGTGTGGTGGAGGGGAAGGCGATCGAGAAGGGGGAGGCGTCCCAGGTGATTAGAGGCAAGTTTTTGGGAGGAGGGAGGGAAGGGAGGGGAAGGGGGGAGGGGGGGGGGAGCGAAAAAGAGTGCCAGAGAGGGTCCTCGAGTGGTGAGCAAAAGAGGAGTCCCTTTGGGCGTGAGACACACGCACCGAATCTCCTCCGGGTCGAAGAAGCGCAGAGGCGGGCGGAACTGCTCGCGCTTCTGTGGAGGCGTGAGCCACACACCCACACCCAAGTCCATGCATGGCAAATGGTCAGTCACCAGGTGGATGCATGAGGAAAAAGGAGGAAGTAGAGGAAGTAGCGGAGGAGAGAGAGGAGGAGGGAGACGGCCATGTCAAAGCCATGGATCTGCCCCCCCCCCCCCCCCCCGCATGCCATCGTGCGCACCGCATCCTTGGCTGGGCGATCGCGCGCCAGGTTCGAGTAATCGATACGTGGAACAAGCTTCACATGCACGCGCAGGGAGTTGTCATCGGCACGGATGACCTGGGCCAGGTCTCCGCGGTGGTGGCCGGACCGGATGCGCACGAAGTCATTCGGAGCCAGTTCCGTATTCTCGATGGGCTTGGTCTCCAGGACCTGGGTCATGTCCGAGACCGGGACCATCTCCACCTGGTTCACGCGCCGGACCAGCAGGGAGCTGATGTCCTCGCAGGCGGTCTTGACCGCCTGGCTGGTGTAGCCCTCGACATAGATGTAGCCACAGCCACGCTCGGTGGCCACGGCACTGTAGATGACGAAGTCGTCCGAGCCGAAAGCAATGGACTTGACCGTCAGCTGCCGACACGCCAGGAACTCCTTGCCTCGCATGCAAGGCACCTTCCAGAGCTTGGGCTGGCGCTTGTTGGAGGCAACCGGCAGCCGGCTGAGCAGCGTATCTCCGGTATCCTCGGAGTCCGATACGACATAGTCCTCGGCATCGTGGCGCCCGTACGAGGATTCCAGTCGACGGATGGTCATCTGCGAGTTGTCATAGTCACGCCGCATGTGGTCGCGGTTGAGTTGGCTGTGGCATGGGTGGTCGGGCGGTCGGGCGGTCGGGCGGTCGGGCGGTCGGGCGGTCGGAGGGAGGGGCGGCCATCAAAGGGGGAAGAGGAGGAGAAAGGAGACGGAGAGAAAGGGCGCCATCGACATGCATGCATGCGTGCGTGCGCGCGCGCGTGTGTGTGAGTAAGAGGGCGATTGTGAAGAGGACAAAGTCAGTGGCGGTGGGGGAGTTTAAGCCGGCCAGGGAACGCACCGCGCGGCGGCAGCCGACGCCCGCTGCTCAGCCTCGGCGGCAGCATCATAGAGACCCTCCTCCGGCTCGTCGGAGTAGTAGTCCTCATCCTCCTCGTCGGAGTCACCGACATCGGCCGCGTCATCAAAGAGGCTGGAGGTGCGCGACTTGCCGGATTTCTTCTTCTTCTTGCTGGATGCCTTGTCCACGGCAGACGAGCCGGACTCCCTGCTGGAGGACTTGCGCCTGCTGCTGGACGTCTTGCTGGAGGACTTCCGGCTGGCCCGGCGCGACTCCTCGTAGTCCTCCTCGCTGAGGTCGCCATCGGACTCATAGTCCTCATCGGCCTCCTCGACATCCTCCTCGAAGAGGGAGGCCGAGGTGGTACGGCGACTCTTGCGAGGGCGCCGGTGCTGGTCCTCCTCATAGTCCTCCTCGGCGTCGTCATCCGAATAGTCGTCGTCCTGGTCATCATAGTCGTCACGCGCGCGGTCCCGACGCTTGGACTTGCGCGAGGAGGACCCACCGCTGCTGGATCCCCGCCGAGGGGAGTAGTCATCATCTAGGTCGTCCTCCTCGCCGGCCGAGCGGTAGTCATCATCTTCACCACCATCGGAGTCGTAGGCGCTCGAGCGGCGCTCGCGGTCGGCATCGCCGTACGAGCGGGAGTGCGAGGACCGGGCCATGGTTGTGGGGTGTGATGCTCTCTTTCTCGGGGAGCGAGAGGAGGGAGGCGCGGCGCGTGGATGAGGGGGGAGGGGAAGGGGGGAGGGGGGGGGGGAGAGATGGAAGAGCGGCGTGTTTCTGCAGGAATGCGGACGGGCGGACGGGCGGAAGGAGGGTAGGGGTGTGGCGCGGTGTGCGAGTCACAGGAAGGGGGGGGGGAGGCTCGATGCCCGCCCCTCCGGGCCCACCGGTTAGGAGGGATCTTTAAATAGCCCGGCGCCGCGCCCTCCCGGGGAAGCACTTTCGTTCGCAGAGGCGTCAGGGAGGGCGGTCTGGCCAGACCCGGGTCGGCGCGCCGGGGCGAGGGGCGGTTGTTCCCGTCCGTTGGCCAGCGAGGCCCTGGGGGCGCGCTTGGCGGCTCGAATTCCCGCCTGCGCCGCCTGCGCCACCTGCGCCGCCTGCCTGGTGCCATTGCGTCGACAAACCATCGGCTCGTCGTCCTCCTCCTCCTCCTCCAGGGGCCCCTCTCTCGCCGCCCAGGACCCGGGGGCCTTCCATTTGGCTGGACCGCGCGTTTTCCTTCCTTGCTTTGTCCCCCTCTCCCTACAGACCCCCTCATGGGCCGAGAGACAGACAGCCACCGGCCGCTTGCTCAGGCCTCGGAGAGCCTGCCCGGCTCGGATGCCGGCGCACGCCCGACTATGGCCCCCCCCCCCCCTGTCCCTGCCGGGGCGACGAGTGTGCAGCGGCGCGTTGAAGAAAGTCTGTATGCGGGAGCGCGCGCGCGCGCCCGCACGGTGGGAGGGCCCGTTCCGACCAGGCACCAGGCGCCAATGTTTAACATATAGGTGCCAACGATCATGGACCATCTGGTGGCGAATCCGTTGGGGTCTCGGGGATCTAGCCCGGGCCTAGGCCCGGTGACTGGGCATGTGCCCCTCTCCCCGTACTTTCCGGGGGGGAGGGGGGGGGGCAAAGAACGGTGAAAGACGCGTGTGCGGGCATAACGCTTCAGGGCGTGAGAGGGGCACTGGGGGTGCGCGGAGGGGGGGGGGGACGGACGCAAGGCAAAAGATGGGCCACTTTCTGAGGTCTTTTTTATTATTATTATTTTCCCCATGCTCGAGGGGGTGGGGGAGATGAGCTGGTGGCACATGCGGGCGTTTGTGTGAGCTCTATATACGGCCGTCTTCGAGGGCGCGGGTCAAGCCGCCATCAGGCGGAGCACCGCACAATGGAGGAGAGGGTGACTGTTTGGAGGGGGAGTCTCCCAAAGGGAAGTATGAGCGTGTAACGCGGCGGGCAAGCGAGCAGGCGAGAGATGGAGGGGGAGCCCCAGCAGCAAGGGGAGGCTGGTCCATGGACCGAGAGCGTTTACTGCGCGAACTCGGTGGTCGGCGAGCCAAGGGGCGAGGAGTCCGAGGTCTCCTCCTGCTCGTCGGCGGTGGCCTCGGCGGCGTTCAGACCCAGGCGCTTCAAGCGAGTGACCATGGCGACTGTCTTCATGGCCGCACTGCGTAGGCGTGTGCGTGTGCGTGCGTGTGTGTGTGTGTGTGTGTGTGTGTTAAAAATTGGACGGGAGGGCACACGTTTGCACGTGCATCGGGGGAGGGGCAGGGGAGAGGCAGAGGATGGCGAGGAGGCAGAAGACAGCCGACACGCATGGAGGGAGATGGTCAGCGTGTGTGCTCCTCCGGGGGAGGGAGGAGGGGAGCACATATGTCGCTCGGGAGCGGCCAAGATATGAAAGGAAGACGCACCGGAGCTTGCGCCGCGCGTTGAACTTGGCCAGCTGAGTGGTGAAGGACTCATGGATGTCGATGTTGCTGGCGGAGCCGCCCTCCTGCGCGATCCACGGGTGGCGAAGGGCCTCCTCGGCGGTGAGGCGCTGGGCCGGATCCACGGTCAGCAGCCGGCGGATGAGATCCTTGGCCGAGTCGCTGATGTGCGACCAGTACTCCACGTGGAAGTCGAAAACACCGGCCATGATAGTCTGGAACAGGGTCGCCTGGTCCTCATCATAGAAAGGGGGGTAGCCACAGAGCAGGATATAGGCAATCACACCGATCGACCAGTTGTCCACGCTCTTGCCGTAGCCACACTGGCGAAGGATCTCCGGGGCTGGAGGTGGCGGCGAGATGTCAGCCGACAGTTGTGTTGCGCATGCGCATGGTGCGACCTCCCCTGTCCCCCCCCCCCCCCCCCCCCCCC